GACTTTAGACTAATTTTTCCTTCTTTTAAAGATTGTTTTTTAAAAATATTATACTTTTTAATTGTATTTATATTAAGTATATATGAAAACTATTTTTTTTAAATATTAAAAAATTTAGTGAAAACAAAAAAATATGAAAAGCAAAAAATTCAAACAAGGTGATTAATTAAATATTTTAATTTATTTATTTTTAATATTTGGGGAGCTAATTGATTTTTAAGGTATAGTTTTAGGGGTAAACTGAAGTTGCAAATGAAATTTGGTGGCACATCAGTAAGTTCCTTTTGATTGTAAACAGAAATAAATGGCGGGGATTAATTAATGAAATTTAAAAAGTTTAGAGGTCAAATTAAAATAATGCGAAGTCTGAGTGTCAAATTAATTTTAGCCTAATAATTAATAATTTAGGAGGTAAAATAATATTTCCTCTCTTTTAACAACATAGTAGATTAATTTATGAAAAATTTACCTATAAATCTCATCTTAAGGAATGGTGATCCGTTTAATCCGAAGGATTTTTTTTAGACCAATTAATCCCATTGAGTTTGAAAAGTTATATTTAATATATTACTTAGAAATTAATTTACGGTTATACCCTTATTTTTCTAGGGTAAACTACCAATAGGTCCTAATAGTTAGACTTAATTCCCATCAAGTTCTACTGAAAATAAGTTTTGCTAAAATTGTCGCTAAAAATAATTTTTTTGTGATAATTTTTTATATATGTCGCTAAAAATTGATAATTAGTGACTTTTTTTGTTATGATTTTTATAGATTGTCGCTAAAACTTACAATTTGTGACATTTTTTTATGATAAATTTTTCTCGTAGGATCTATTAGACAATAAGTTCACTTATTAGGACCTACACGTAAGTACCCCTTATTTCTATTATGTTTATGTTTTATTATTATTATTTTTCTTTTGTACTAGAAAGGTAAGAGCATCTCCAGTGGTATTTGTTACAATAGCATTGCAATTGCTATAATTTGGAAATTTATTTATTACTAAATTATAGCAATGGTACTCCAATGGTTACTTGTTATTTTAGCAAATCTCAACCAACCTTCCCTCCAAGTTTGTAGGTGTTGTTTGGATATATGTTTTTCAGTGATTTTTTTTTATTTTTATTTTTTGTCTTTATATACTTACATTATACCTGACTGGATAAATATAAAATTGAAAAAAAAAATTAAATACAATTCACCCCCACCAAAAAAATACCACTACCACAAAATATATATATATATATATATATGTATATATTATTAACTACATTAAAAAATAAACAATCACTAACTACCCACCAACAACCACCCACCAACAATTATCCATCATTCACCCAGCATTCATTCACCAACAACCACCTACCCAACAACCATCCATTATTCACCCAGTATTTATTCACTAACAATCATTCATCATTCACCCAACATTCATTCAGTAACAACCACCTATCCAACAACTATCCATTATTCATCCACCATTCACTTACCAACAACTACCCACCAACAACTATCTATCATTCACCCGCCTACAATTTTCTCTATAAATTATAACACAAGATTTTCTACAATTTTCATATTCACCTACCCACAATTTTTATATCTTTTAAACTGTCTGTACTCACCCACAAGATTTTCTATAATTTTTATATTCACCCACTGTGGACACCCCATTTTTTGACCGCCCACAAGGCTCGAGCACTTTGCTCAGTACACTCGATAATGAAAGTGGCATTGTGCGTGCTTCGAGGTTTCAACGAAGGAGTCTTGTTCAAGCTTTGAAACAACCTCAAACCTTCCATATTCCCATTGATCATACCCAAGAAATCTCTTTTTATACCTTGTGCCACCTTGTGTTGAGGTTGAAATAGAAAACAGGGTCCGTGTCTCATTGAGGGCCAGCCGTGGCTATTAAGGGCCGGCTGGGCTTCAGTAACAAGGAACACTGTTCTGGGCGGGAGGCCGCCAGCTGTCCATTTTTTAAGATATTTCTCACATTTTGTGTTCAAATTCTATAAATACAACCATATACCTCTATTTTAGGGGTTGAACAATTGAAAGAAAGCCTATACACATAAAGAGAGCTCCTCCTTCCTCATTCTTCCATTGCAAGTTACCTTTGAGTTGGCCTACCAACCTTGTATCATCAATATACACCATACACAACCTTGACTCATCATCTTAGAGCCTTGTTTGACCCTTGAGAAGCATAATTCAAGCTTGAGAGTGTGTCAAGAGTGAGTTTGATCATCAACTAAAGCTTACTCCATTTTGAGAGGTATAAGATTGTAACTTTTGTTCTTGCTTTTTCTTTCTTCATATCTACTTATTTCATGTGTTCTTGGATTGTTTTACACCTATTCTAAGAGTTGGAACTTGGGTTTGGACAAGCTACCAAAGGTGGTAAGGTTAACACCCTTACTTGCACCTATTTTTGTAGCTCAACCCTAGGTCCTTTTACACTCTTTTTCATTGTTTTTTGAATTGATTTTTAGAGTTGAACAAAGGCCAAAAACATGATTTGAAGTCTTGAAATTGGAGGGGTTGGCTATCCCTCCTTGTTTTTGCTTACATAGCTTTAGTGTCTTTGCTTATGCTTAGCTTTTAAGCTCCTTTAACTTTTGCTTAGCTTTTTGAGCTCTTTTTTTACATTTTCAGCCATTGTTTTGGGCTTATTTTAGACTGTTTTAGGGCTGTTTTATTCTATTTAATTGGTTCAAGCTTTGATTAGTTCATTTGGTGTAGCATTGGTCTTTGTATATAGGTTACATCATGTTGTTCTTAGCCTTTCTTTGTTTAATTTCCATGGTAATAACCTCATTTTAAGAATTAACTTGCCATTACTTTCTTCCATTTGAGAGTTGTTTCAAACGGTTGATGGTTATTCAACATATGAACTAGAGACTCACGCTTAATGGCTTAATCTCTACGGAGATTCATTTTTAACAGCGTAATCTCTCTTTCATATTGAGAATTACTTCCCATTTGATACTTTTCTCCTTTTAGAGGACTTAATCATCACTTCGAACAAATGGACTAAAGAATGGAAAGGACTAAAAGAATTGGTTTAAAAGTAACCAACACACTTAAAGAAAATGAGTCATCTTGCTTAGGTTTGGCCGGACGTTATGCCAAGTTAATCGAGTCAAGAATGATCATGCACTAATTCATGGCGTTTTGATGATTCTTGAAGCGTCTCTACCACCCTCTTTGAGTTCATTCTATGATAAGAGGGAGGGGTGGTCATATCTATTACATTTCATTGATTTTTGTCCAAAATTGTATTAAGAATCATCAAGCAATCAATTTGCCCATTGATGGTTTTGGAAACAATTCTAGCATTCTCTCAAGGCTTTTCCATGACAGAGAAGGAAATAAGGGACAAACAGAACTTGAACAACTCTGTCTACATTGTTTTCAATTTAGAACACAAAACAGAGTTTTGCACAAAATTGAGGCACGACCAGCCTTCTCTATGCCCGATCGGGCTTCATTGAGGGTCAATCGACCCACAAAGTTTGGTCAGCAGTGTATTTTTGCAGAAAACAGAGTGCAGTGGCTGAGGTGAAACAGAGCAAGCTTGGAGCAGACATGGCTATTCTTGAACATTAGACATGTGCATACATACAACCCTTATGCAATCTCGCTTACGTTAATTTAATGTTGTTTATTGTAATTAGTCTCATTAATTATTAAGTGTTGTAATTATTTATTTATTGTTTATTTGTAATTGTTGTACTTAATTAGTTTAAATAGCGAGTTTTCTTTACCTTGATTATCCTTGTTATAATAGCATAGTTAGCTAGTTAATTAGCCTAGCTTATTTATTCATTTGGTTTTGTAATAATTAGTTTAATTCAGATTATTCGGACTTTGATTTGCACCCTCTTGCACGAGGGCAATGTTGTAATAAGTTGTATGTCTTCCAACCCCACGTCTTTCTCCCTTTTACTTACTTTCTTACGATGGTTAGTATAGGGCATCGCGTTTCATTAGCATTATTATGATTCACATCCATTTGTCTTGCATGCATATACGGTTTGGCTCATCATGCTAACCCAATATCAATGTCCAAATTCATTTACTTGAATACGTGCTCTCTCGCATGTCTTGAATGAAATCATATGCCATGCCCATAGCCGAGCCTATAAAATACACAATGCATGTGTTGCATTAGTCATATTGCATTTAATTAGGAACATGCACATTTTTCTAACTCTTTCACCTGTTTTGGCTTGGAGTACTAGGTGAGCTTTTTATTGATTTAGCATCTTGCATCAAATGTTTGTGTTGCCATGTCCAAAGCATACTTCTATGAGGCTAATTGCTTAAATGATATAACTGCTTGAATGCCTGTGGATGAAGGCTAGATGCTTGAATTGAGATGGTTTGATTAAATGTCCATTTTAGCCCACTTTTTCAAGTGGCAAATTCACAAAACAATTTCGAAACAAAATACAAGATCAAATGTTCCAATTCTTGCAAACTAGTCTATATTTGTGTGCGCATCACAGAGTAAAGAATAGCTAATAAATCGGAACAAGAGCATATAAATGTAAATAAGAAACGCATCATGATTAGTACAGGCCGATCTTTGATCGGGCAAGTGGGGTGCTCAATTCATAACCTTCCCCTCTTGTACCTAAGTTCCCAAGCTGAGACACTTTGGTGATGACAAACTAATGGACTTTGGCACGAGTCTCGAGTTTTCTAAATTTTCCAAAAATATTTAGGTGGCGACTCTGAAATCTGGCAAAGCAATCCATTAAAAAGAATTGTCGGATTTAGACTCTTTTTGTGTTTTCATTGTTTCACATTACACTTATGAAATCAGATTTAGAACCACAAGTGGAGTTCGAACTGTAGGGCTATTCACTTAAGTTTTCTACAATTTTTATATTCACTTATCCATCATTTTCATATCTTCTAAACTTTTTGTACCCACCCAGCAGATTTTCTACAATTTTCATATTCACCCACTCACCCATCCACCTACAATGAACAATTTCACTAAAGCCATATTCAATGGAGATTTTGATGAATCTTTATCATCTGATGATGATATAATGATGATGCAACTGTTAGCAGTGCAACAACAAAAAATACAAGCATTAACCCTAAACCAACCAACTAGACATGTTGGTTTCACAAGTGGTCGTTGATACATTAATTGTGAGAGGGTCAAAGACGACGAACAAATTTATAGAGATTACTTTGTAGATAATCCTGTTTACTTAGAAAAATACTTTCAAAGATGTTTTCGAATGAGGCGGTCATTATTTCTTAGTATCTTATATTCAACAAGTCAATGAGTACTTCATCCAAACCCATGATGCCATTGGTGCTCCTGGATTATCCAGTGTACAGAAGATGACGACTGCACTTCGGATCCTGCAATACAGTGTACCTGTTGATGCTGTAGATGAGTACATCAAAATCGACAAAACTACTGCAACTACCGCCTTGAATTTCTTTACTAGAACGATTGTTGCTATTTATGAAGGCGTTTACTTAAGATTCACAAATGAGGCAGATGTTGCTAGATTATTACAAGAGGGAGAGCAACGTGGGTTTCCTGGAATGTTAGGGAGTTTAGATTTTATGCACTAGCATTGGGAAAAATGTCCAACTGCCCAAGTTGGTGCTTACACTGGACACTACCACAAACCAACAGTTGTACTCGAGGCAGTCGCCTCCTACGACTTGTGGATTTTTCATGCTTTCTTTGGCATGCCTAGCTCTCTAAATGATATTACTGTTCTTGACAAGTCGCATTTATTTTCTGAATTAACTAGAGGACGTGCTTTTGCTGCCAACTATACCATCAATAATCAAGCGTACACCATGGGATATTATCTTGCTAATGATATCTATTCTCGTTGGACAACGATTGTGAAAACAATATCTCAACCTCAAGGTTTAAAGAGACAACTATTTGCGAGGATGCAAGAGGCATGTCAGAAGGATGTCGAAAGGGCATTTAGAGTGCTCCAAGCACGCTTTAATATTGTTAGAGTTCCGGTGAGAGGTTTGAGTGATGATGATTTGTACTACCTCATGAAAATGAGCATTATTTTTCACAATATGGTTATTGAAGATGAGCGTAATATTCTAGAAAATCAATGCAGTGCGGCACTACTGCAAATTGATACCACCATACCCCATGTCAAGTGTCACACGATCCAAATCAGGAGTATGCTAAATTTATATTGAATCGCCAGAGGATTAGATCTATTGAAGCCCATAATGCAATTCGTAATGATCTAATTGAACACTTGTAGTCCCGATATGGAGAGTCAGATTAAGTTTTTATTTTATCTTTTTAATGACACTTAATGTGATTTAATGTCTTTTTATTTTAATAAAATTGTCTTCATTTGCAATTTTATTACCTTCATTTCAATAATATATGTATTTTTTCATAACATTGAAAGATTAAAATTATACTAAAAAATAATCAACATTACATTGCAAAAACATAATTACATTGGAACATAAAAAATACTCAAAATTACATTAAAAAATAAATGGCATTGCAAAATTAAAAAAATACATTCTCCCATAATTATTTATCAGGAGACAGGGAAAAATAGTAATTTGGGTTGTTGACATGTGCGGACCACTTGGCGAAAATCTCATTTTTGTGCATTATGTAATACGCTTTCATCTGAGGGTCCAAATGAGAAATGTCTGTAGTCATTATCAAATGTCTTCCTTTTTTATCTCAGATTCTCTCATCTCCTGCAAATGTTCTTCCTTTTTGATCTCAAGTTCTTTTATCTCCTATAATGCTTGAACCCTTTTTTCTTCCCTTTCAATTTTTTTCATTTTCTTCTTAGCAAGGTGTTTGTTAAATGTCTCCAACAAATTGTTAAATTTGTGGACTTTAACTTCAATAGCTTGACTTTTTGAAAGCAATTCTTTTGTAGATTTCCTACCCATAGGCCTTTTACCTCTTGTAGAGATACTACGATCACCGATTGGATTATTACCAACAGTTGGATTGTTACCAACATTTGGACTGTTGTCATCTTCAAAAGAAATACAGTTATCCATAGGGGATTCAGAGGCTAAATTAGGGGAAAACGGTGTATGTATCCTTGACTTCACTGTGTTTGTAGGAGTTATATCTTGCCACTTGATATTGTTTTGCAAGATTGGCTAACAATGTTCAAAAGAAAAATGTTTGTTTTTATCTTGATGGCATAAAAGTTTTGCTTGAAGCATCTGGATTAATAAAATATTAAATTAATTAATCAATTAATTTTTATTTGAGACAAAATAAAAAAACTAACATAATAAATAAAAATGAAATCTTAATATATCAACTTGAGATATCCCATTTGGGTGTAGATTTTCAACTTGTGCTAAACACCCATAAAATTTGTTGTAACATTTCATGATTATCGAGATGAGATAGACACTTGTGTTCTTGATTGATCACTCTGAAGTGAGCAATAATTTTCAAAAATTCTTGCCTAAAAATTAGCATGCAATTGCGAATTGCCAACAATTGGGTCTTCAGTACTGTGACATATAGCGATTCTAGTTTAGACCCGACCCATTTATTATTTTGGATCCAGGATTCTTTGTCTTGATGGTTGTTTATGTCCTTGTTTATCTTATTCCTTGTTGAATTGGGTTGTGTGCGCATTGTGGTTACGTTTGAAACAGGTTGGGAGTTCATTTTTCAAAGGAATCTTTACCCCAGAATTTTGCTTGTTCGCTCGAGCGGTATTTTACAATATGTAAAACTACTAAGAGTTTGATATCTGTGCTCGAGCGACGCTTCTTGCGCTCGAGTGAACCTTTTACAGGTTTGAACTATTGGGAGGGGTGCATTGTGCGCTCGAGTGGTGTCTTCGTTTGTGTGTGTGCACTCGAGCGGTCTCACTTATTGTGTCTAATCTCTCGAGCGGTGTTTTGGTCGCTCGAGCAATCTGTGCAAATATCAGTTCGTGAAAGTCACTTTTTGAGTCATTTTCTCATCTCTCTCTCTCTACATTTCAAAACCCAGATTTTCTTCCTCTCTCTAGAAACCATCTTTAAACCTCAAATACACTATCATCCGTTGGTTTCTATACCATTGTCCTTTGAGAAAAAAGAGTAGAGCACACTGAGAGCTTCCCTTTGATTGGAACAAAATTTGTTTTTCTGCTTTATCAAGTTTCAACCCTCATTCTTCTTTGTCCTTGTCTTTGAGGTAGGGATTTCTCCACATTTTTGTATGGTTTTTAACTTGGTTATTTGTTTTTCTAAACAATATTGTGATTTGGGAATTTTTGGATAAAAAACTAGGGTTTTGGTTTTGAAATCAAAAAAAGGGTTTTCAAATGGATTTTGAAAATGGTTGTGGAATTGGAAATATGGTTGGGTTGTGATAAAATGGTGGATTTTTATCCTTGGAATTGATTTATAAAGAAAATGGGATTTTGCCGTAAAATGTGAATATTTAATTTTGTAAAGAGGAAATGGAAATGATGTTGGGTTTTATAAAATTGGAATGATGATGATGATGATGGTGGAGTTGGATATGCATTATCACTCTCATCTTGGAATTTTGAAAAGTTTATCTTTATTGGAAATTATCTATCTGTTTAAAGATATCTGTTTTGGGCTATCGGTGAAGGATATCTATGATTGTTGTAAAAATTGCATGAGAATTAGGAGAATTGTTTTGGCACGAGCATTGCATATGTATTCACCTTATAGTTTTGTTAAGATTCATACACTGGATTAGAGTATCTCTACTGGGTTTTGGCTCACCTTATATGGAAAACCATTTTCAGGTGCTGATGATACGCCTCCGCCAATGCCATACTTGGAGCCAAGAGCTTCTTTTTTGTTATTGTTGTAATTATTTTTGTACAAGCTTAGGGCTTAAACTATATTGAGTTAAAACTCACTTTTGTTGTAACTAAGCACCGTCTTGGAAAGTTGTAGCCATTAGGGCATTTATATATCTGTTTAACTTTTATTTCATGCCATTAACTTGTGGCACATGCTATAGAATCAGGGCTAGGACTTATGAATGTATACTGCATGTGTTATCTTTTGTATAATGGAATCATATAAATGGAAGGATACTATTGTAGACACCCCATTTTTAACCGACCTTAAGACTCAGACGTCATCAATTGAGCGTTCAATGATTGCGCATGTTGTGCTTGTTTTGAGGTTTCGGAGTTTTCGGCCGAGTGCCTTGCCTCCGGGCCTCTGAACTCTTTGTGCTTCGGCTCAGTTTGTGGACCGAACCTTGTTTTTCTTCCCTGGAGGGAGGGAGGGGTCTTGTAAACCCCCTTTTGTGGTCGTAGACCACTTTTTGCGCTTGGAGACTAGTTTTCGATTTTCGAAGCCTTCGGCCGCGTGCCTTGTCTCGGGACCGCTTAACGTTCTCCATTTGGCATGGTTTTTGAACCACACCTTGTTGCCTCTACCTAGAGGAACACTGTGGTCTGGAAGACCACTTTTGTGGTCGTAGACCACTTTTGATGCTTGTAGACTAGTTTTCGAGGCTTCCAGCTGCGCGCCTTGCCTCCCGGACTTTCGTCTTGCATCATTTTTGGTTTGTTTTTGGTACAAACCTTGTTTTCCTTGTTTGGAAGGTGGTACAAGGGTGGGAGACTAGTTCTTTCCCTTGGGAACTACTTTCCTCCCCGCCAACCAGTTTTCTGGTCAGCTAACTGGTCTTCCTGGTCTTTGGGCCATCTTTTCTAGTCGGCCACCACACCACTGCCTTGCTTTCATGCTGCTGACTATCTCCTACCATGGCCGACCACTTTTTGCCCTAGTCGACCACTTCCACTGGTTGGCCGACCAGTAGAAGTAGCTGGCTGACCACTTCAAGTGGTCAGCAGCTTTCCATCACCTTTTTAGAGATATTTTCTATCCAGCTGTCACAGCTGGAAGGCACAAAAACCATCGTCCATACTGTAGACGCGCCCGAACGTCCCGGGAAAATCCCGTTTTGTTCATTGGGCTCACTACAGTTCGGACTCAATGTCATAGTTCTTAATCTAATCTCGCAAAGTGCAATACGAGATTGATAAATCACCAAAGAGTCCAAATCCGACAAATCATTTTGAAAAACTGATTTTTATAAAGAAGTGCCAAACATGGACTGCTTTGCCAGATACAGAGTCGCCACCTAAATATTTTATTTTGGGGGAATTTAGGAAACCCTGACTCGTGCCTAAGGCCACGAGTCCGTCATCATCAAAGTTGCCTCGGCTCGGGAACTTGGGTACGATTGGGGAAGGTCATGCAATGAGCACCCCCGTTCGCCCGATCAAAGATCGGCCACTACTAAACATGATATCTTGTTTTTGAAAACATATGTGCTCTTATTCCGGTTTATTAGCTTAGAATTGCTGCGTGGCGTGCACAGCATACAAGTATAGACTGGATCGTCTAAGTTGGAACAAAACATCTCATGTTTGTTTTTGAAAACGGTTTGCTACTCGCAAGTAGGCTAAAATGCGGATTTTGCCACCCTCAAGTGGGCTTAGAAAACATGGTGATTTGCCACTCTCAAGTGGGCTTAAAACTCGCAATCGATGAATTATTCCAATTTAAATAATCCAACCTTCACCCACAGGCATTCAAGCAGGTATATCACATAAGCAGTTAGCCTCATGGCAAGCATGCTATCATGGCAGTCACTCACACACATGCAAGGATGCTAAAGCATAAACACTCACCGAGTACTCCAAGCCAAAACAGAAACTAGTTAGTAATCAATGCATGATCCTAGTTCATGTTAAGATGGCTAATGCAACACATGCAAAATGCAACTAAGATAGGCTCGGCTATGCTAAGATGGCATATGAGATGCTACAGATAACATGTATTCAACTCAGAATTGAAATACAATGCAATTAGTATGATGCGCCGAGCCCGGTGCGTGCAAGACAGGTGAATGAATGCAAACATGCAAAGCATAAGGATGCTAATTGAAACATGCCCTAAAACTAACCATCGTAAGCTAGTAAATAAAAGGGAGAAAGAAATGGGGGTTGGAAGACATGCATCACACACACGCACACTTATTTACAACATTTGCGCTCTCGACGGAGGGTCCGAATAAATAATACAAAACCAACTAGCTAACCTAAGCTAATCTAATTAAACTAGTTATTACATGACAAAATTAATAACAAGCTACAGCTAATTATTACACAACTCTAATTGATCAACAAATTAACTAAGTAAGC